TCATTTTTATCTGTGCTGAGTTCAAATGGAATTTCTAGTGAAACATAATGTGGATCTTTATCAAAAATGGAAAAAAACATTGTTTGACTCTAGGATTGGATATTAATGACTGAACAAGATCTAATTGATTGCCGTTGGCATTTACAATGTCAGAGTGTTCTTTGAGATTGAAGAGTGATATGGTATCAGTGAAATGATTACTGAAAGTATCTCCAGCATTCAGAGGACAGTGTGATTCGAATTCCACATTGTAGGCACAACGAATTTTTTCGGAAAATTGAAATCGCCGACCAATAATATTTCATCGTTAATTTTGTTATTATTAATGATATTGATCAGTTTTTGAGTGAATATCTCCAAGTCGTTTAGTTAAGCATGGGGAGGTATGTAAATACAACCTGTATGCAATCTCTTACCCTCATTCAATGCTACAGATACCCACATAATTTCTACAATTCCATTCGTATTCCAATCGGGGACACTAAATGACACCAAACTTTTTGATACCCCAATCAACACCCCCCCACCCTATATAACTTTTTCCACTAATTCAAATATACAGGTTTGTTCGATACTTTTGAATACCTACTTGGTGTTGGATACATAAAAAAAAATTCTGCAGAAGAAATATATAGAACCAAAAAAGAAGTCCATAGATATGAAGTAAAAGGAGATTCGACCAGGAAGAAGTTGGAACAATTCAGTCATCAATGAACTTTTTAATCTTTGGTGGAAGTCCATGGTTTCTCAAAGTGAAGTACAGTAGTAGTATTATTTAGTAGTTGATGAAGTTTTTGTTTTGTATATTGATGATTTATTGAAGACTTATGAATAAATAAGTGAATATTTTCATGTGGATATTTTCCATAATTTAGGGACCTATTTATTATATTATTTAGTCTATTTAATCAGTATCAAAATAGATAGATCTTGATAAATCATGAAACTTTGTGTATTTGGGTCTCAATCAAAACACAATGTAATGTATGAACTGGAGTCAATGTTAATTATCTAAATAAAATTCATATCAAGTTGATATTTGACTATTTGAGTTGGTACCTAATCTTTTTCAAATGAAGAAGTTGAAAATGAATGTAGGAATGTTGTGAAATAATTTTGATGTGATTTTCTTTATCCAGAAAAAAAACTGTGATTGTATTTCCATTTCGATAATTTGGGTTGAAGGAAATTCAGATTTTAACAACTGCTGTGGGGTAACAATTAAAATGGCGCCGTCTCTGAGTACAAGTCAGTGCGCAGACGTGTCAAGGGGCTATCTCCGCCATATTTGATCTCCTATTAGGAACACGACTGGGATTTGTTATTCCCTTCTCTTCTATGTTTTAGTTCTTTGGATAAAACGCGCGATACGACATCCGTAATTTTAACGCTCGTGTGGCCCCTCTGTAATCATTGCAGAAAGTAGTTGTGATGATTTTAAATAATGAATGAACGTTACTTTCAATTCAAGCAAGGCACACATCAGCGACAACTTAAAATATGATCTTGTTCAACACACGACTTCACGACAAGGTCGGAAAGCTCACTAAGATATGTCACGCGTCACAAGTCAATGAAAAATACATTATCTTCGCAAATAGGGTTGATGCCAGGCTCATGGTAATTCGAAGTGTCCATAATTTCCTTTGACTTAAAGGGCTTCCAAGCGGGTCGTTTGTAGGAGATACTAAGCATCCCGTAGTCCGTACTCGTTTTGTTTTAAAACGGAAAAATCGATTCTACTCAGAAAAAGTTACAGGTATAATTCATAAAATATTAACGTCGCTCTAGTGGTTACTCTGGTGTTCTGTTAGATTTCTCTTCCATTCCATTACCACATTCCATTCACCTTCTAAACTAATCTAAACGAACAGACTAGCAAGATCCTATGGTTGTTGCAGTTAGAAAAATCCTGTCCGTTCATTATCTAGACAAAAACTACACAAAAAATAAAACAAGTGGATAAGTATTTATGCAGGAAAAATACATTCAGGGATACAAATGGGGAACCAGAATCAAAACATGATGAAGAATGTATGAATGTTCCCATTTGTTTGTTTAGTAGCTTGGTTTCTATGAAGGAACTTCGTGAATTATGAAACGTAATTTCATTTCTTTCTGAATCATCATTTTTCAATTAATAATAATAATAATAATAATAATAATAGTAATAAAGGTCTTTATTTTAATTATCCTCGGCAAAGTCCAGCTTATAGCTGCTCTACTCAACCAAGTATCATGACACATAATAAAACAATGATGAAATACATTCATGGAATTTACAAACAAGTGCATGGATTATCATGAGAAAACTAAATCTTCTCTCAATTTTATCCGGTGCATGTATGTGAAAAAATCTAAAAATAAAGTCGTATCTACAAAACCATACCCCGAACCCAGTTATGCGTAATCTGAATAGGCCATCTCGAGTTTCATATTTTCAATAACAACCAAGAAACCTGGCAGTCTCAACTATAATGGGCTGCACTGTACAGTCAGAAAACCTATTTCTCAATCATTATGTCCTGCATCTGTTTAGCTAATTTATTGAGCATTCTAGCATCATTTCATAAATCGACTACCGCCTTCATAATCCTGACTTTGTATTTATGAGGTACATAATTATGTTACGGTCAATAGACCATTTTGAGCAATGCCAGAAAAAATAAGCAAAACTAGTGTTAAGCAACGGATATTTCCAAACATCGAAATTTTAACAGTATACGGTTATTGAGCAATACAAAATAAGTAGAACTATTTTTGAGCAATTTCAGATGTACAAAACTAGTTCTGTACATTTATGAATGAATATATATTTGAAAAAAAAACGTTCATTTAGGCCGTTAGGTTAGATCGTTTGAAAAAAGTAGTCTCCTTTCTTATGCAGAAGGGATATTTTCCTTTCTCATTCTAATAATATTACAGAACAGCTCGGACCTGCCCTCAAAACTAGGTCTACTTATTTTGTAATGCTCAATAATCGCATACAATTAAATTTTCGGGTTTAGGAAATATTCGTTGCTCAAAACTAGTTTTGCGTATCGACTATTGAGCGTAACATCTGTTCCAGAAAGATAGAGCTTCTTGTGACGGTAATTTCGATCAAAATTAGACATTACACATCTTTTTTCAATTCAATACATAATAAAATAGTCTCCTGTGACATTAAACTAATTGAACATAATGAAAGTAGCGGCATCGTAACTACTATTGATTCTTCTGATTTCGAAATAACTGGTTATACCTAATACTAATAACGGCTCTGACGAATATGACCTGCCCAACTTATCGATTAACTATAGGGGCAGATCAAGTACTTGAGGTCAATGACACTGAGTCAACACCCAACACAAGTTGGTGAAATAGAAGTGTATCAAGAGATATTTGACGAGATGTCAACTCAGCTTATGCTGCTGTTCAGATTATTGATTTGTCGAAAAAAAAAAGGGAAATCAAGATTAACATAAGGATTTCAGATCATCTCAATAATGCTTTCATGATTATTCAGAATTCAAACGAATGGGGAAGTTTCTTTCAGATGACTTTTCATTAAGTAAGTTCGGAACTCGTCCGTTTTATGTCGACGCTGTGCACAGAATGGCGATCGATAAGATCCAAGTCGTTTTTATTTAAAATGAAGCAATTGCCAATTTTCGGAGCGGCAACCTTTGACATGTGGGTACATTCTGAATCTAAGCCTGAATATAGATGATGAGGAGTAGGTATACACGAGAATATAGATGATGAGGAGTACACACGAGAATATAGCTAACGAATAAGAGAAGAAAACAACTTGGCGGCGTTGTTGATATCCATCCAAAGAATGATATCTACCAGCAATAATTACTACTTCTGCCTGCTGAGTATTTTTTCCATGTACCACCCTTATCCCTAGGAGATTGATAATAGACGAGATAATTTTATGATAATCGAAAGCTCCTACCAGGGCTTGAGAAATTTGTCATAAAATTATGAGGCATTTGTCAATGTCCGGGGAATATTCGGCGGAACATAATTTGAGGTTGTCAAAGTCGATCGTGTCGTCATAGTCATTGATGATTGCACTGAATGCAGTTATCAAAATTTATTCTCTTTGATGCACCACCCTTGGATATAAAATTCGTTTCTGAAGCTCGGGTCAGAACGGCCGCGACCAAACATGACAGAAAAGCTTTATTTCAGGAGTAATATCCCCAGGACATTGATAATAGACGAGATAATTTTATGACGATCGATAGCACGTTCCTTGGAAACAACAGCTGGAAGCCGAAAGCTGCGGGCTGTCAAAGTCGATCGTATTGTCATAGTGATTGATAATTGCACTGAATGAAGTTATCGACATTTATTTTCATTCAAAGACTATCTTCCCCAGCAATAATTACCACCTCTGCCTGCTGAGTATTTTTTTTCGATGCATCACCATTAAATTCATAATTCATTTCTGAAGTTTGGCACAGGACTGCCGCGTTCAAACATCATTCATTTTCATCAAAAGAATAATATATATGAGAAATAATCACTACCTGTGCATGCTGAATATTTTTTTTTTTTTTCGAAACACCACCCTTGAATTCAAATTTCTTTTCTGAAGCTGCACAAGACTACCTTGATCAAACATGATGGAAATGCTGTATTTCCATCCAAAGAATGATATCTAGCAGAAATAATTACTACCTCTAGTGATAGGAGGTTCTTCAGGGATAATTTGACAGAGGTTGACTTTGACACTATGGTTCCAAAGTCATTTGGGTTCAACAAAAATGGTTATTTTTTAAATATTTTCCCCAGCAGCATAACTGAGTTATTGGCTGTATGAAAAAATCTGAGACACCTCTGGTATGTATGTATATAGAATTTTAACAAAAATCACAGTGAGAAAGAAATTTCAATATTGGAAAGCATGTTAAAACGACCCTTTTCGGTGTCAAGGTCAAGTACGCGGCTTGCATGTGTCGACTGTACCTTAACCTCAAATATGAGAGAAATGAAAAAATACTTACTCGCCGGTCGTTGAGAATGAGCAGTTGCAGCCTGTTCGAGCTTAGAATGTTGCTGGGCTAGTGTCTCTACCATGTCTTGTAATCTGGCTCTTTGTTCTTTTTCATGTTGCAGGGCTCTTACTAATTTATGTCCGTGATTTTGTGCTGTTTTCAGATAGTCGGCACAAGACTGGAATGGAAATTATGATTCTGCATAAGATTTGCCATAATTTATATTGTTATTTTTGTAGATAATGAAACTACCATTTGAAAATCATTGAATTTTTCAGCCATTAGACATCGACGTGATGTATATAATTGCTGAGAAAATTGTATATCTTCATAATTGTTGCAAAGATCATAACAAATTAGCTAACATATTCTGGTTCATTCACTTGACAGTCATTGGATACAAATATTATAAGTAAGTTATCTGTTTCAAAAATGATATTGGTGGCGAAGGGCAATGGGGTTGTATCAAATAGTTGAATTTTCAAGTCAAATCTATAAGTTTCAAAAAGGGATATTACTCAAAGATATGATGAACATGAAAAAAATAAATTGAAACATATCATAATACATTGAGAATTCGAATTCTCAATCAATTTCAGAAGATTTTCATTTTCAAATTCTTATTGTGTGTGTTGGTCATGGCATATACCCAGGAAAGTAGTTGTTTTCTGTAGAAGATACAAAAAAAGAATACATATTTTTATTAGATAGAGAATGAGAATTCTCAATGTATATTATATTATATGTTTCCATTTTCTTCATGTTAATAATATATCTGAAAAAAGTCCTTTTCATAACTTTCATACCCAATCAAGGAATTAAAGCATGAACGATGGAAAAAAAACGTACAACTGACGATCAAATCTCTGATATTGTCACTTCAAGTCTAATATAAATACTGCAATGATAGGTGACTATTTTCAAAACACCTGTATTTTCCAAAGGAATTGATCCATTTACTAGCCGTTATAGATATCAGATGTGGAATTTAATGGACTTCAAAGACAGCTAAAATAATGACAGAAAATCAACAAATCAAATTCTACACAATTGAGAGTTGAGTTTTTGAGTGGAACCATTATGTTTGCGATGCTGCCTGGTCTCTGCAAATATTTTTTTAACAATTTGGGAATTTCTTGCCGATTCGTATTCGAAGTTCAATGAGAAATTAATGAAGCACTATAACAGAATCGTTGGAAGCGTTGATAGTTGTCATTTAACCAAACAGTGTATTAATGATTATTATTATTATTAACTATCCATCACCTGGAAATCTCCGACGAGTGTTGGGGAACCTAGAACCTCAAAAATAAGAGATTCTAAGGGGCCCTCCTTTCCAATACATATTTTTTTAATTAAGTGGGAGACAAAAATCAAACTCCACCAGAGACATTGCCAGTTCACAACAAGTATACATATTGAATATTCAGAATTATCTCTTACATTCATCATGGCATTAGTAGCGATTCTGAATAAAGTGGCTCGTTCACACACTTCCTTATTCTTTCCTTGCAATACTTCTGCATCAGAATTTGTTTCCATTTCGCTAAGAGGTTTGGCCAAATTTTTCCAGTGCTTTGCTAAAACATCACCACAAGTTTGCAAATCATTCAATTGTGTCTCCAATTTTCTGACAGTGCCAGACCAGTCTTCTAGATCACCACAATCTTCAGCTTCGTCATCTTCTTCAGATTCCATATTTCTACTGAAAAAATACGATATTTGAACAGGGCTATAGTAGTCACATTTCTTTTGTAAACCTGTACTCAAGAGTGAGACTGTATAGGGTGTTGGGAAATCCAAATGACAACGTTTCGATTGATGAAGAATTAAAGAAGATAAAACGGCCGTAAATTGATTTGATTTGAAGATACAAGTTGAAAAATAAAATTCGTTTTCTTTAGGAATTACTCCACAACGGTTGAATTTCCTAATCGACTTTGGTAAATCATTGATACCATGGCAACAGTTCAAGTTATACAGAAAATATGTTTTTTTTTTATTCAAACTTTCTAGGTCAATAACTTCGTAACGAGGTGCGATAGAGAAGTGCGATAGACATTTTTTTATATGAAGTACTAACATTAGTTTGGTTCACCCTATCAGCCCTATCATTTACGACATGAGCTTTCCGGACACCCGTTGGTTACAACATGTTTTTCTCCTGCAATGAAAAAAATTTGATTGGCAAATTCCGAAGCGAATTTAATATTCATCACAAAACTACTAACCTCATTCGCTATAGGTCGCGTGCAAGAACTGTCAGATGACCGACCCTGGAGGCAAAACATATTTGTTTACAAGTGATTGAAATAGGTTTCCACCATTTTTTTTGGCATATGAATCGTATTTTTCCGCTATTCATCAATTCGCTAATGCTATCACATTGTGCTGTTGTAAAATGCACAAAAACTGCAGCGGAAGATGAAGAAATCCGGATGGTACATTATGATTCAAAAGTAAGTACCTACTATAGACACTCACATAGTTTTCATTTTTGAAATTTGGTTATTTCTCTGATTTCTCATCGGAATTACTTCTGCGATAGGATCAGCTAATAGAAATATACCTGAAATTTCTAGAATAATGCAAGAAGATTGGATTCATGCAATCAATCGGTAGGACTGGTCTGACATGCTGACGATCGTGTGTGTTGTAGACATTTTCAATCTATTAGCAGCATTAGCTTGTATTGCAGAAGTGGCAGAAGGCAGAAGGAATTTTAATAAGGAATGACAACATTTCATAATGCTAACTATGTGAGATTACTATTTACCTGAAAAATCATATTCCCTAGTCTCTTGCTGCATTTTTTGTGCATTGTACAACAGCACAATGCGAAGGCATGCTTGAATTGATGAATAACGCAAGAAACACGATTCGTATGCCAAAATATTGTGAAAAACTATTTCAACCTTTCGATTCCTCTGTAACCAAATAAAAAAGTGAGGTTGTGTTTCAATAATTCACAGAAGAATGAGGTTGTGTTTCAATATTTTGCCTCCAGGGTCGGTCTTCGTGCACGCGACCTATAGAAAATAACACGTTGTCCAACTTGACGGCAAAAACTTCTGAGCCGTCTGTTTTGATGGATGTTACCAATAATAAACGAATGTGAACTAATGAAAACATAGTGAAAAGGCCGATTTGTTACCTTTCAAAAACACTAAGTGGAGTACGCCACGGTTATAATATGTACAGTATGATGCAAATGTATGGAATAAATTCATTTCAAAACAAGACGACTTTCGAAAAAAAAAAAAACTAGAGTTTAGAACTTTTTTTTCGACGTATTTTTTTAACTAGACGACCCTTCGATGTTCAATTCTCAGTAGCAGACCTCTGCAAGATTCAATTAATCACATGATAATCCATTTTAATTTCAATCTTCTTATGCAACATTTTGACTGTTGAATAGACGATCGGTAGACCTTTCAATCAAGGTGTCACATGACCCCTATTTGTATTTGAAAAAATCGTCCATTACGTCTTTACTCCAACACCGGTGACGTAACATCTCTCATATGAATATCATGAGATGAGGCTTCAGAAATTAAAACTCACGTGTTTCTGTAATTTTTTCAAATGTCGCCCATTTCTGAAATAATGAATTTATTCCATACATTTGCATCATACTGTATATCTATAGGGACAGGGGACAGGGTTACGGCATAACGGCCATCATAAATTCTTGAAATTCCTTTTTGCTGATATCACATGAGGACAAAACAGAATAGCCAACCAATGAATATGTTAGGCCTCTTCGATTGTTTTCACTCAACTTGCTGACTTGTTTTGTTTTTATGACTTTCTCTGTTTAAATCTTGTGATGAACAGAGAGAAATAAGTTAACTTCAGCCAATGAACTCAATGTTAACAACTGGAAGTAATCATCTGTAATCGACGAGTGAGGATATTGTTCAGGCAACCCGCAGTGGTTACGGATACCTATCTCTTTCTATCTCATGTTTTGCTAATGGGAAACGTTCGCATTATTTGAAATATTTTCTCGTTCTTTGCTTTTATTCAAGAGTAAACGTGATTAAATATAAAAATTCATTCAGGAAAAATGATAATGTTGCAATCAATTATCATTCAAAATTTAATATTTTGTTTGAAAAAATGGATTAAAATCGGTACAAAGACGTTAAGAAGCTAACTCGTTAATATAAAATCTTCGATCCAGTACATCCAAATCAAACTCATTAATACGAAGTCAAGGAGAAGAAATTGAAAACTTACATTGCTTTTGCTTTAGCTAGTTCTAATGCGGTAACCCATGATTGTCTTTCAACTTCAGATGCAGCCTTGATGTGAAAAGTCTGCGTACCCCCATTGGAGATAACAAATGTACAAGCATCCACCGTGTATATCAAGGCACCATGTAATGATATACTGCCACGACAGGTGTGCGCCATCTCTGCTTGGTTCCTGAAAATTAAGGAATTTCGGGTAATACATTTGTCAAGATATTGAATACACATTTTACAGGGTGACATTGAGATAAATACAAATATTTTAAACCCTAGGAAAGCTCAACGTGGCACCAATAAAAAATGAAGGGATGAAAATGAAATTTGGTGTGAGACCACTTTTTCTAACACCGTAGCAATAATGACGTGCAATGAGAACGGCACCCACGGCAGCTCTTGGGGTACACGTGGGGCTACCACCATTGCACTTAGTGATCGAGCACGAAGCCATGAAAGCGGCGTACAGACTCAACTGCGCCAATCAGTGGACTGGTTATCGCTGCAACACAGGTCATGCCAAGATCTGGACAGAAGCTACCTTAGCCTGTCCTGTTCTAACCATGGTGCAAGACCGCATTACGCCGCATCATGAATTTATCTCCTCTGTCAAATTTACCTTTCATGATAGAGACGAGTGGCTAACCGAACCACACACACTGATTCCAGGCACCGTACCTGGTTCACGGATGGGTCTCGTGCTGGGAATCTCACTGGTGCTGGCGTATACGGGCAGAACCAAGACTACGAAGAGTTTCAACACCTTGGACAATTTGCCACTGTATTCCAGGCTGAGGTTTTCGCCATCCTTGCCTGCACACAAGAAATCACACGACGCCACATAAGAGGCAAGCGCATCTCCATCTGCTCCAACAGTCAGGCCGCTCTCAAAGCTCTACGAGCACCAAGAGTGGTCTCTCGGTTGGTTTTAGATTGCAAACGAAACCTTGCTGGGATAGCAAGGGAAAACCGTATCGAACTACTTTGGGTTCCGGGACATAGTGGGATAGATGGCAACGAAAGAGCCGATGATCTAGCAAGGCAAGGTTCTTCAGCCCGTCCTGTGGGCCCAGAGCCCATCGTGAGCATTTCTCTCTGCACAGGACTGCGAAAACTTGAAGAACTTCTGACAGAGAGGTTTTGTCAGGAATGGACTGAATCCAGGGGTATGAGGCAGGCGATGACATTCATTGATAGGCCTTCGATACGTCTCACCCAATCCCTCCTGAATATGTGAAGAAGCCAATGCAGAGTCGTCACTGGTTTACTAACTGGACATTGCCGCCTTAACAGACATCTAAACATTCTGGGCATCTCCGATGACCCAACGTGCCGTTTATGTCTCTAAAACGACGAAACTCCCATCCACATCATATGTGAATGTCCTGCGCTAACACAGCTCAGATAGCGGAGTTTCGGACAAACGACTCTTCCAGCGGAAAACATCCCGGCTACCGACATCCTAGCCTTCGGCAGAGCTGCGGGACTCTTGTGAAGGATGCCATACTTACGGGGCGACACAATGGACCCACACTAGCGGTCTAGCTGTCTGGATTTCGACAAGTCCCCCCGATGCTTACTCAATCACTCAACTCAATAATGACGTCACCTCTGTTCAAATTGCCGTTTGGTGTTTTGAAGTTGCGTACTTGATTTTAATTCCGCGTTTTGTTCAACTTTAAGGACGAAATTCCTCGTTTTTAGAAGAATTGCAAGAACTCTGATATTTTGGGAATATTCATTATAGACCGAGAGATAGTGACAGATTTTGAATACGTGATTTCACCCAGAATGCCTTTTGGAGGGTATCATTATATATATATTTTGATGTTAAAAAATGATACATGAAAGAACCCTTTCGGGTTCTTCATGCATCTATTTTATCACCTTGAGCGCTATCATGTTATCGGAATTTTTGGTCCCACGGGCAACTTTTTATTTCGATAATTCCTACTGGTAAATTCATTTTTCAACTAACGTTTACAAACCGTTTTGTTTTCTGACTTTTTTGGGGTGAGTTATGTTGTTTTTTGTGGCATAACAGTTGTACTACGTGGCCCCAAGAATCAAATAGGTCGTCAGGGGCCACGTGGCACCAATGCAGTGCCAAGGTCAAGCTAACGAACCATCTCTCTCGAATCCTTCCTGACGCGCATTTTCAAATTTCAAGACAGTATGCTGCTAGCAACAGCGTTAAATAGTACTGTTGTGAATAGTTCAGTAGAAAAACCTTAAGCAGTAATAAACTACAATTTAGCTAAGTCAAATATCGATTCATCGAACCAAGTCAAATCATATTCTCACTGCTTACGGAGAGGGACAAAGTGGTACAGGAAGCTTGCAACTGAACTACTATTAGGTTCAGCTGTCGTCAATGGTTTCTCGGTCTATGGAGAAGTTACCATGGAAAAATCGTCTATAACCGAGTTCAAAGAAAAATTATGCCACTCTTTATTACGTATTGAAAATACAGATTTTGGTTCAGAATTAAGATTTTTGACCACCCTGTATCTATTTCAATTAAATAACAATTGATAGTACATGAAAAGTTAAGATAGGGACATGGAAACTGTTTTGATCGATTATGAATAGTTTCGACACAAACAATTCTTGAAGTTGAAAAATTTCGATTTTTCACACCCTATATCTTTGTTATCATTCCCGCTAGACCCCAAGTGTGATAGATCGATGGAATCAGCTCTTCAGGGAGAATCTGAAAACCGAATGATATACAGGGTGTTCCATTGAAATAATCAAAGTTGTTGCTACTTTTCAATATAAACGGCAATGTCGCAACGCTGAGAATATTTTAGGTCGATAGAACCCAATTAATTATCCAAGGCACCAACTTCTCAGAATAATCCTGAGTTGCGTTTTCCAGAAAGATCTAATGTGCCATCCACCGTGAATCACCCGTATACGGGGTGAGTCAGTTTCTTGTAGCAGGACATAAATAGCTCAAAGAATTTACAATCTTGAGATTAACAGCTCACGTGAACAAACCAGGCCACACAGAGGGTATCGATCCACCCCTGTAACTTCTGCATTCGTAAAAGGAAATTTAGTACAGTTATACAGGGTGATTCATTGGGAATGTGCATACAGTAAGGGTAGATGGAGGACACCGAGGTGCTTCTGAATAATCTATATTTCATGGGTCTACCATTATTTTCTTGAATTAATTCCTATTCTTCATTATGTTAAGAACCTCACGGTCACTAGTAAGTTCATAGTTATTATTATATTATTATTATCCCTAACAACACAGAGGATGTCCTATAGGTACTTCCCTTTTTTGTCACGCGCTACGATGACAAGGAATGTCCCGTGGACATCCCGTCTGGTGTATCCATATATTGTCATATTCTTGTCCCTAGAATATCTGATGTCAAAACATTTATTGAAACGTCTGTGCTATTTTTTTATGTTTGTTTTGATTCCGGGAAATAATTGAAATGAAAATAAAGAATAGTCTCAGAACTTCTCAAGACGTAGCCATTTCACAAACAGAAATCGTAAGTGCATAATGCCTCTCATACACCTGAGAATGATAAAAATTATACCCAAATCCTAGCAAAATTGCATTTATTTGCGTTTCTGTGGTTTAGTCCTGTTTAGCTTTGGCAACATCTGAATACTTGGTGATGTGGTATTTGGCAACGATGTTAAAGTTAACCGCACGAATTCAATATACAGGGTGATTCATATTGAAGTGCAAATTGAAATAGGTGATTTTTAATCACGAAAGTTTACATAAACATGGGCCCTATCTCGATCAGTAGCGAAGCTGCAAGGGGTAAACATTTTCTTTAGTAATTGAAATATCATACTCCAAGAGATATTAATTTGAAATTGGGTGAGGTCAATACTTTCTAGAAGATCATTTGAGGCATTTTGAAAATTTTGAAAATCTACACGTTGATTCATTTTTGGGGTAGAGGTTTCTTTATCCCCCCCAAACTTTTTCATAGTACGCCTTTGACGTCTTTCTGTTGCCAAATAGTGTGGAAAGTTCTAGGACCAAATTCGTTAAGAATGCAATGAAATGTACTAAAATTGCAATGTTTTTAAGAATGTGTCCAATCTGGATCAGTAGCGGGGATACAGAGGGTAGAACGAGGGGTAGAAAGGTCCGGTTGCTTTTAACCGACCAATACAACGACGCAAAAATTTCGTGTTAAACCACTGGTTCAGCCCTCAGAGACTCCTCAGGGACTTACAACTTGCGAGTACGGGAATGGTGAACCCAAGGTACCCTAGCCGGATATTCACCATACTTCAACTTGTCTTGGGTGATATCCTCTTCCTTTTTCAATCTATCTATCGGCCTTTCTTGCTCAACTTCTCTTTTTCTCCTCCCCTCCAAGCCCAACCTCACCATCAAGTGGTGTGGGGAGGACAGACCGCGGCCGCTCGACGGATGAAGCATTTTGGGAACATCTTTGCTATCTCCGGGCCAGATGGGACAATTTGTGGACATCTGTGGCAGGGATGGGGCGATTTGCTGATGTCTGTCTAGGTGGCCGAGGACTGGTCAACAAGGCTCTGGCAACCTAATCCAAGCTGTGGGAACCCGTGGTGATGGATGAATGGCACCGAGGTATGGTGTCGCTAACGGGGCCTCTGGGAAACAGGGCGACATCTCAGAGTAAGTAGCCTTTGCCCTGTGCAAGGGGCACCACAGAGCTTGATCAACCCCTTCCCCCGTCACTCGTAGGAGAAGGAAAACTTTTGGCCTTCTTCGTAGACGAGAACAGGGATCGGAAGAGTAATCTTCAGGAACCTGAACGAAAAGGGTCTTTCATATTGAAGTGGCCCTTACTAAGCATCAAGAGTCGTATATGGTAAAATTGATAACGGCATGTAGGTAAGATACAATGGGCCACTAGGCCTAAGTATCGTCGGAGACTTCGGTCAGACGAGCCTACAAACGGGGTCCATAAAGGATTTCAACCTCGATGAAAAAAAAAAAAAGGTTAAGCCCCATACAGTTGTATCTAATATCTTTTTCAATATCATTAGTCATTGAAAAATAATATAGCATTCAACCTGTGAGGTCAAATGTACGGTCCACAAAGGACATTAGGTAATAAATAATAAAGGCACATGTGAGTCATTGTGAGTTATGGTAAATTACCACCATACATCTGGAAAATGTGGCCTTATGCATAATACATATAT